GGGGGGGGGGGGGGTTGTACTCATACTCGTGCATGCCATAGTCGTTCGACCATTGACCTCGCATCCCTAAAAAGGTGGGACGGAGCACGCCGGGTTCTCACCGGACTAGGCTCTAGGAGGGGGTGGAAGAGATTACTTTTAAATGGAAAGTGATATGAAGAAGGTGCTGGAAGTTGCCTACCGACCTGGGTGCCGTTGGTGCGGGGGGGTGGAAGGTCGAGCCCCTCCAGCTTGGGTGCGACGGCCTGGTGAATGCTTCTGCGCGACGCCTGCGGCTTCTTCACCACCATCTTGCGGCCGTTGAACCTGACACACACACACAAAAATCAAACCCATGTGGATATCTATCTACTCCGTACTCCGTAGCGTGGACAGGATGATACTCCGTGCATCGGCATCACACCGAGCACTACTGGCGGGGGGCAGCACCACCCCTGAAACTTAACACTGGTACAGAGTATCACATCGACCTGGGTGTCTACGTGAAAGAAGAACACATCGATGAGGTGCGGAGAGGGACCAGAGGCGTAAGAACATGGGACAAATACTAAGTATCGTGATCCGAGCACAACGACGGAACGGCGACAAAAGTGGAGATATGGCAGCCCTCAATGGCACCAAACGGTACACTGCACTTTTCATAGCAACAATTGAACGAAACACGGCGCTTGTCATCGCAAAGCAGTAGCCCTTGATATCATAGAACCAAGGGTTAGACGGCACGTGCAGCAGTAGCCCTTGATACTACAATACATCCACCGCACGTTTCTTCGTTCAGAACAGGGGTCAGGTCGGGTCAGACTCCCCGCTGACCCGTAGGGACAACCAGCTTAGTCACATAAACAACCCCGTGTACCGTGTGCGCATACCACATGGTACACCATACACCGCAAACCGCACATACGTGCGGCGAAATATTTTCAAGTAGTTCAACATTTCTTGGGGGTGCCCGCTTACCCGCAGGAGCCATCTGTATATCATAATTAAGTATTTTAACATTTTCGAGGCTGCTCGCTTACCCGCAGGAGCCACCTGCATAGCACTTTCAAGTAGTTCAACGTCTTCGAGGCTGCTCGCTTACCCGTAGGGAGTGTGTATAAGGCCGTTCTGCCGGTTGGCAGCGCTGTCATCCCTGACCGTCTTCACCTCTCGCGCGATCGTGCTGTTCTTCAGCACTGCCAAACAAAGCAAACAGAAAAAAGCAGTACAAAACGAAAACGACGGTATCAAAATTAGCCCCTACACACCAATCTACACCGTTGACAAATATATAGGTATCAGGTACAAACACTAGGCCAACACAGCCTAGGGATAGAGTCATGGTCGGAACAACTTCAAGCCATACAACCCCCCTGTTGAGCTTCCCCTCCGGCAGTTAAACTCCCAACACAGCAGCAACACCAAGGGATGGTTTGACTGACCTTGTTGCGTCTCGTCGAAGTCGTCGGTGGATGGGTTGATGTTAACCACCATCACCGTCTTGCCTGCGGTGGGCCCCTACAAAACAAAAAACGGTGAAAAGAGTAACCAATGGCGCGTGAGCAGTCATTATATTATTTACACCCTAAAGTACTGTACTGTTTTTGTATAAATTGGTGTTTTATGTATCTGCGGCTACGCACACCTGGTGTTGGCCGTTGACGGACAGCTCGACACCACCAGCCGTGAGGCGAAAACGATTCCTAACAACGTGTTGAACAAGCTTATGGAGGCTGCCGAGACAACGTTATCGTGTGTGACATTGCGCTCCTACTGGTCTTGCTCTGTTTTCCTCGTGTTCGTATCCTAGCCTTAACGTGTGCATGCCACCGCTGCTGCGCTCTACAGTGGGGGGGGCGGTTTAGCGGTCCGTAGTGTCACAAAGCGTTTTGCAGCTATTGAGGGCATCGCCGCAAAACCGGATTGGCAACACTAAAGTACTTCGATTACGGAGGTGCAGCCATGCCACGAGATTTTGGAACCGCTATTCAGGACATCGCGCTAAACGGGGAAGGAACCACTAAACCGGGACAACGGCTGTAGTTCGAAAAACGTACCTGGAGATGGTTCTTGAAGAGGTGGGTGAGCTTCGACTCCCGGAAAGGCACCCTCGACTCGGGCTCCTCCTTGCGAAGGTTTGCGCTGCAAAAAAAAAACACACACACACAGCACACAAAAACGACATGGGCACAACAATCGAAAGCGGTTTCAGTGCGAACGTTAGCGAAAAAAAAAAAAAACACACACACACACACACAACAATCGAAACGGGTTACAGGAAACACGAATCACGCAGGGCGAAAAAAAAAACAAAAAGTGGGAAACCCACCCACACACACACACGTACGTGCATTCCCTAGATGTCATCAAGAAAAATGACGACAATAAACAGGGCGAGGGCGTGCGTGACGTACCGCATGATGGTCAAGCAGTGCCACAGGGTGCTGAGACTCTTGTTGATGTTGTTGGCTTCCTTCTGGCGGGTGCTGGACGCACCCGCTCCCGTGCGGCCGCTGCGCTCGCTGCCCGCAAGGTCTACCACCCACAGGCTGGAGTCCTTACCTTTCTCGCGAACAAGCTTGATCTGGACGGTTGAGGGCCAAGAAGAGAAGTGGGGGAAGGGTAACGGGGGCTAAGTTTCAAACAAGTGGTACGGGAAGCACCAAGGGCAAAACAGAAGAGAGAAATAATAGACGTACGAGCTTGCGCTCGGCGAAAAGAGAAAGACATCAACAGGGGCAGGGAATAAACGGTCGAAATTTGGGCCTCGCAGAGCAGTGAATTTCAGTAGAACCAAAGGCTTTGTGGAACGGATATTGCGTCATATTTATGGGGGCCATCCCCAAAGATGCTGTGCCAAGATTAAGGTGGAGTGTGGTGTACCACAGCAAAGTTGGCCACACCCTTCGCGCATGGCCAACCTTGCCAACCAGGAGGCACGCAAGGCCAGGATGGGGTCAACGGACTGCTAATTCTCTTCTGCCAAACATGGCAACGTAAAACCACCAAAAGACGCAATGCAGAGCTACATTGTAAGGAAAAGGCTATCGTCTAGACTGCATGTCCGTTACTCCCCCAAGAAAAGACCAAGGTAGGACAACACAGAACAAGAACGACGACCATCAAGTCAAGCGACACCGCGAGACAGAGACTGGACTACAGTAAAATGACACAATATAACACGCACCCGTGACCAATTTTCAAATATCGATTTCTCAACAAAAGAAAAAGTCACAGCGCCGAAAACGGTGGCGTTGAAGCTGTCTCGTGGAGAGCTTTCCGAAAATGTATTGTTTCATTTATGCATCTTCTTCGTCCTTGCGTAATCGAGCTTTGAAAATTGGTCCAGGGGGTGTATTATCTTGTGTCATATACGGTACACCGCGACAACGCCGTCGGTCTCAACAACAGACAGCCCTGCCGCAGCGAAAAAAATACGAAAAAGAAAACAGGCATGTTGGCTGGCTCACCATGCAGACGCTGTGAGAGCGCGAGGAGTCTTCGTTGAGCCTCGTAGACGCCACCTGAAGGTAAAAACACACCATGAGGGATGGGGGGTGGGAGAAAGAGGGAGAGGGGGATCAGAACAATGGCCTCTAACCTAATGAGCATGTTCTCATACCAGGCACACCGATGCGATTGAAAGCACCAACAACCATCTGCAAACACCGAGAATAGCTTCACACGCCCACCGAAAAAAACAACACGAGCTCGCAACCCAAAACGACATGACACGTACCCGTCGGTTTGCCGTCGCCCTCCTCACGAGGTCCAGTCCGTCCGTGGCGGACTTGATGACGTGCTTGGACAGATCACGCGCCTGAATCACGCCCTTGCGGTCATCGAGCTTGAGGGCAGTGCGTGCCTTCGCCCAGTCATCCTGCAACAAAAAGAAAAACAAGGAACAAACACCACCACACACTTCGCCGTCATCAAACGTCCTGGCGATTCGCTATCCGACAATAAAGCTCGCTCTACGGTGTGACGCAGTGTACACATAGGATGCCCCACGCCGTGGGCCGGTTGTCAAGGCCTAGTTACTCTACGACGAAGAGGAAGAACAAATCAGACGATACGTCAACAGATTGCTCTCGACGAGACGGTTCTAACGTCGCTCTCTTTTGCTGCGGAGTACTCGAGCTTCGACAATTGGTCCAGGGGGTGTAATATCTTAGTATCTTAGTCATCGCCGAACCAACCTCGGGAATGCATAGTGAGGTACGGTTGACCGATTGACCTGTTGTAAGGCCGGTGGAATAGCTTGGCACAGATGTAGCATTCCAGTTGTCTCATACCCCAAATAGTATCGAGTGCCCGACGTATGGCTGGTGTATTCCCTTGGATAATAGCGGCCATAAAACAGGAACCTCTACTGCTGTAAAGTCAACACGAGAGGTGTGCTACCTCCAGGACTGTACGCACCGTGTCGGCGGCGGCGAGAAGATCGTACACGTTCTCGATGTAGATCTCCAGGAACGACATCTCCACCCGTACCTCGGCCTCTTCCGCTCCCATCTGGGCCACCCGCCCGAACGTATCACTATGTCCAGGAAACACCAGACAACGACATGACGGCAGCAAAGGGCAACGGACCAAGGATGGTAAGCCGAAATGTAATCAACCGTTGCCTTGAGTTCATATTCAAGTGGGGATGACAGCTGGTTGTTCCTGCTCTTCACCAGAAGCACCAAGAAGGAAAAGGAAAATCCGAAAGTCTGTATAACACAGCAGTAGTCGATCTATGGTTCCTGGCTGGTGGTTGGGAGGTATTATGCAGTCAGGGGTAGCGAAAATGTTTAGGTTTTCGTGTGTCGAAATGACTTTAATAACTCAAACAATACGGCATGCGAGCTTGGCCATCCTTTGAGGACACGCGCGGCACAGCACCAGCGCAAATCCTCCTGAAAACCTCACGACAAAGCGGTCGAAGACGGCTTGCCGCAAGTTAACGTGAACCTTGCCCCGTATCAGGCAACACGCCCCAGATCCAGCCCCTCCCCCCTCCCCCCAAAGCACGTAGTAGATCACTCTTTACGTCCAGAATGCGCCATGCTCCTGCACACCAAGCAAGCAGCGCAAGCCAGACCCATCAACTTTGTCTCGAGGAAGACGACGCTGGATGTCTGCCGCCCCTCCCTCGCTCACGTTAGGGCCTGCGGGATAAGCCCCGGGCTTCCGTCCTCGCCCAGCACGGTGTACGTCTTCCCCGCGTTGGTCATGCCGTACGCGAACAGCAGCGCGTTCTGCGCGGAGAAGACGTCGTCCACCAGCGGCCGCATCGTCGACTCGTACGTTTCCACCTGGCCCGCCTCGGAGCTCAAGACTCGGGTGAACCCGAAGTCCTTCGCCTGCGAAAGCGGGGCAATTGAAACATGTTCTTGTAGCTGTCGCAATAACAATTCGTGCCGTTCTCTACAACTCAGAACATTCTGATGACCGTACTGGTCCAACTGACTCGGGCGGCTTCCGGAGTCACCGGCCAACTACTCAAAAATTGGATGAACACTTCTAAGTACGAATCGAATGGGGGGGGAAAGTGGACCCATATAATTCAGCCGAGAAAATCCTCCAACAACGTGCAGGAGTTCATATGCAGGTGAAACTGGCAAGAACAAATGGGGCACTTTGTTCCGCGTTCGTCAAGAATTGATTGCGGCCCGCCGAGACCCTTGAAGCGGTCCGCGCAACACCCGCAGGCGAGGGGAAACAAAGACCCTCTCTTAAGCCGTCACCGCCACTGTACCCAGACTCACTTGGCGGTTGATGGTGCGGCTGTGTCCTGCCGACAGGGGCGGGAACGTCCTGAGCGTCGCCTGATCATCGAGGATCTGGTACGTGCGGCGGCCCGTGAGCTTATCCACGTCGGCGCCCGGGGCGCCGGGGGGCCTCACGCGGAGGAACACCGACAACGCGGCGTTGTTGGACGTCGACGGCTTTCCCGGGGTTTTAAGATTGTAGAGAGTGCCTAAGGGGATCGACACAAGGCGACGACAGGTGGGGGATCGAGGGTAGGAAAGTAGCGGCGACATGGTACAATAACAGTCGAAGGAGCGACAGCGGGCACAATCGGGTCCAGGGACCATTGAATCACACAGATGCATCCCTGAGATGAACACCCATGTCCACGGAAATGACACTAGCGGCGCACTTCCTCCAACACAACACGAAAAAAGAGAAAAAAAAAAGGACGTATGATAGGCCCCTCCTGATAACGCAGCAAACCATGCGGGACGAAAACTTACCGCTGGCGCTCCCTCGAATACGAAACGGACACCGAAAGAAACGCGAGTCGTCGTAGGCTTTTGTAGCAGACAATGCCGCGACAATGTGGCACAATACGGGCACGATAACTCACCGCTCGCAGTAGACGTTTTGGGGGTCCCGGGCATGGCATACAAGCCTGGGCCGGGGGCGGAAGACGTGGACGACTGGGACCCGCTCCGAACGCTGCCGGCCTGCTTGTCCCCGGCGGCGGTGGCCTTCGACGTGCCGAACAGAACCCGCTTGGCGAACTCGCTCTTCTTCTCGGGCGTGCTAGTGTCCATGGCTGCTGCCGGGAGGGACAACAGGCCGGGCAGCTGATTGGTTGGTTGACCAACATGAAACTGCTATCTTTCATGCCGCAGCGCGTGGGAGTGATTGGTTGGTTGATGAAATGAACTGCCACCTCGAATACTACAGCGAGAAAGGGGATATGGAAGAAAAAGTGACACGGCTCCATGCAGGCGTACATGTTGCGTCAAAGTAGAGGGCGATGGGGGAGGTGAGAGGTCTCAGAAAGGCGTTTGCTAGCAAAGGCGCGGGCGTACTTCTAGCCGCAACTCTGTGGGGCAAACCGAGCGATCCGTGTGTGTTTGTTTGACATGATGGAAATGTTTCTTCGACGGACGTCGGGCGGTTGGGCGTCGCGCTACATGGCCGCATCTCTCCGTCCTGGGAACAGCACCGCAAGAACATCCTGTCCATGTCATAACTACAGCCGCTTTCAGTGACGAACAGTAAACACATAATTATCTACTCTGTGTATGCGGGCACTGCTGAGATGCCGACATCGCCTCCGGTTAGAACCGTGAAGAGGCGGAGGGATGGCACCCCCCTCATTTGGACCGACTTTCAAAGCTCGCCTAACAAAGATTTTCCTATCAAAATCTCATGTATAGGGGCTCTTGCCGCAATCGAGCTTCTGAAGTCGGTCTAGGGAGGGTGCCATCTCTCCGCCCCTTGCAGGTAAATGCGTAGTACGATAAAGCTGGGAACAGCTACATGCGACTGCCAACATAGGTGAGTCTTCGGTGTGCGCGATTAGTGTACTGGCGAAGAGGTAACACTGTGGAAGTACAGAACTCAAGTCGCCCCCCTGGACGCGCAACTTCTCCAGCGAAGTGCTTGATGCAGGAGCATGGACAACATCACTATTTAGCCCGACGCTACATCTACTTCCGGCTTCTCTCATGCAGTCTACTTGAAACATGAGTAAGCGGCGGGAGATAAGCATTTCTCGCTGCTGGCAAAGACCGGAGGTGAATGCAGTAGAAACACCCCTGTGGATAGGGGCTGCCTAGGACAACAGCACCGCGATCGGTCGATCACTGGTGCAGGCTACCCGAGCCATAGACTAATAGCGGGTGGATATTGCCCCTCACTCATGCACCAACATACAGCAGTAGATGCGCACACCATCGTCTCGTCGCCCGACTCGCTCAAGACACAAAAAAGAAGACCCGCAGGCAGGGTAATATATAGACAGCGCCGGCATGCTAATGGCGGTCCCCAACGGCGCCAAGATGCAGAATCTCTGAGTTCGCACACATGCTGCCAGTGCGCCCCCCAGTTAGCTCTCAGCAGAACCGTTCGCATTCCGCCGTTGGCAACAAACAGCATGCCTGGCGTGATCGTTGGGATATTAAAAATCTTCGCCACCTTCTTAACACCATATGTAGTCCAGCAAGTACCGCGAGTTTACGCGTAGGGTTTGAACCCCCCCCCCCAAACACCCGACGGCCTCACCTGAAACGCGCAGTTTAGCGCCACCACTCGAGGGCTAACCAAGCTCGCCTCTACGCTACTGCGACCACCAGCCTGTAATGATGTCGTTGGCTAGGGTAGACCTATTAGCTGCTCCTGCAGGATCATGGTATGCAAAAAATGGCGCGTAGTGGGTTTTCGCGAATAGGGGTAAGTGCGTGCTGTGTGAGAGACTAACGTGTGCTGAGAGGAGTGCTTCTAGCGATAGAGTGGTCAGCAGAGACTGCGGCAAGGTGGCAGGGAAGGGGAAGACGGCTACGCTCAAGCGATAAGTTCCAACTGTCAGCTAAAGCGAGATCTTGTCTGCAATAGAGTCCCGGTTTTCCGTCTCGCTCTTGTCGGCGCGGAAATCAACAGCCATAGCAGAGAATCAAATCAAGCACTCTGGCCATGTGATAGTCGTCCCCCACGCTTGACTCACCACACACGGGTGTATCACTCGCAAGAAGGGATATCTCCTTTCCCTCTCGTAGTTCCTCTTCAACTCCTTCTCCCTCACTCTCGCTCAGCGTCTCCGGGGCTCTGTGTGTGATTCCTCTTGCGTCGCCGTCAAGTCTGACCGTTAGCTTTTGGGGGACCGCCGCACAGGATTCTCTACATAGGCTGGGTAGGGTATATCGCTGCTCTTTGTTCCGCCGCATCATGGCACAGGTGGGCATCCGAACACCACAGGGTGGGGAATGAGTCTGTCCGTTGTTGTAAATCGAGACAAGGAGGTTTCAATGGTTATGCATACAAACTTGATAGCGGACGAGGCCATCTATAGCCGTACACGTCAAGAGGATAGGTAGCGACATTGGAAGGCCGTATCATGCCTACCCCCGGCGAAAACCTTGTATAAACAACAAGCAATCCAGGAGTCACTCCTCGGTACTCGTGATTGTGATTTTCGTTTGCGCCAATAGGAATAGAGCAACGGTGGATCAAACAAGAGCCGGTAGAGAGGCGTTGACCAATCAGGGCGAGAGAGCGAGCACAAGCACCTGTGTTGTTGGTATGGTGTAGCCCGAGACGACATACAAAACAAGAGAATCAGGAGAAGATCATTCGCAGCAGGCAACAGCACGGTACAGAGAAGTGGACATCAACTCAAACAGGCAGTGTTTTGAGGCTGTCCGCCATAGGCAGCAAAACACAGGAGTCGGTGCACAGCACAACAAGGAAAAAGGGAAGGAAGAGTCAGACAGGAGCAGCTGTGATTTGTTCAACAAAAGAGCGTAAAAAGAGCGAAGGCCATTCCGCTTGTTGTACGTGGCATAAGATTAGAGCAGGGCCGAGCTTGCACTACACGGGCAACGACCGCGAGCGGCTGCTTGCGAAGAGGGGGGTGATAAGGGTGGAGAAAGGTTCGACCCTTCCGGAGCTTTTTGCGCGGAGCGTGCCCCTCACGGCCGAGTATCCACCCTGGCGGGGCCAGTAGCACCCGGAGAGAGCAAGGGCGGGGTAGGAGGGGAGAAGCGAACCTGCAGGGACATCATGGGCGTTGGCGTCAGCGCCTGCAAGGGCCTGGTCCACCCTCAGGGGGAGGACCCGACCAGCGGGGAGCCCGAACGATCACTGTCCACGGTGACTCGTCTCCCCTTCCTGTCGGCCTTTGAGGACCGTCCTCCATTCAAGCCCAGCGAGGCGCTCTCCGACAGGGATGCGTCTTTGCTCAAAGCCCTAACACACCATCGCACCCCTTTCGCCGTAGTCGAGACCGACTCGACCGACCTCAACATTATCTATGCCAGCGGCGGCTGCGTTGCCGGCATGGGCATGCCGGCGGAGAGCATCGAGGGCTCCAGCCTGGCCGGGGCGTTGCAGAAGGGGATCAAGATGCTAGATGAAGATATCGCGCGATTGGAGGCGGCTGTTCGAGCAAAGGAGGTGAGAAACGAAAAACCAACACACATTCGTTCGACAAGCGGCGTGCTCCTTTGGGCAAAATATGCGCATGAAAAGTTGGATTGGAAAATATAGGTCGTGCATTGCGCTCAGGCTCTGAGCGCACGACGCACACCCACGCATCAATGAAATGCCTGTGTCCATTCCCTACAGTATCTGGCGGTGCCTCGCATGTTGGCCGCGCGAAAGGGCGCCTGTGGGCGATGCTATTGCAACAAAATCTTAGGTGGCGGATTACGCCGGGATCTTTACACAGCACTAGTTGAGAAGTTCGTTTTCAAACACCACCCTCCTGCTCAGAGGGTACGCGTACTTGCCGACCAAACCAAGTTGCCGGTCATGCAAGGGAGAAACCCCACCAATGCGTACGACTATCCACCCTTGTGGCGCAGCAATTCTTCGAGGCAGTCGTCCTGCGTTGTTCACTTGTCGTGATCTCTCTGTACGAAAGCCCAAAAACTATCGTAAAAAGAAAAAATACAAGCGGAAGAGGTGGTGTTTTCGATGAGACACATGCGTCATAGGCTGCAGCGCAACTCTTGTTTGCAACACCCGGTCGGGTAAACGCCGTCTGTTATTTTTCGGGCAGGCCCGTACATAAGCAATCGTGTGCCGAAGGTTGCTTCCACAGCAGCCAGTACTGCTCTTCCTCTGCATACGTGTAGACGTCCGTGTTCAGTCAGATCTCGTGGGAACAATCAAGTCAACAGCACGCTCTCCCGGCCGAATCCTCCTAAAGTTGTAAAAATCCAATGTTAATGTTCTTTGATAAATGTGAACACGGCGGAGAGACAGACGGGCAGCTGCTGAATAGGGTTGGTTGTATGAAACGCCGACTAGGGACAGGGTTCGGACCAACAGCGGTATCAACCAAAGCCAACATGCAGGCTCGCATTTGTCAAGGTTGTTGTCCCTTTTGCTGTGGGCACGGTAGAAGCAGGGGTATAGGGCGGCGGCAACGGGGGTTGGTTGTGTTTTTTCAGGGTTGGGGTGCATACGTGATTCGTGATGTCAGCAGGCACCACTAGCCCGGAAACTTCAACCTTGATCGGTGCGGCATTACGTTCGGGTCTATTTCGGGGGGAAACTGCTGTTCGGGGGTTTGTGCCCCAAGGTTTATGTCGTAGGCCGATGAGGATCACGCTGCCCAGGACGGACTCTTGGCCACACACGCCGCTACAACACCCTCCCTAGCGCAGTTGGTCGCGGTCATGCCGCCTTTTGTGTAACGACCACAACTCATGTGATGCACCTCTCGAAGGGTGTATAAATAGTTGATTTTAACGACAGTCTGCATGAGAGAAACGAAGCGGTAGTTCGTGGTTCTATCCTCCTAGTGTTGTCGGGGAGGACCCAAATTTTGCACCGAAAGTAGTTGTTGAATGCATTCAGGGGTTTTCAACTAATGCAGTACATTCATGCGCGAAGAAAGTTACTAAATGCAGGAGAGCTCATTTGCACATTTGTTGGAGGTTGTGACGTGGCCTCCAGCTGGCTCAATCGGGGTTTCACCAACAGAGCGGCGTGCATGTTTTGATCCCCGCTGGGGGGGGCGGGCGGGTCACACATGTGTCGTGTCAGTTTCCGAAGCGTGCGTGTGTTCAGCAAAGGTGCCTTTTTCTTTCCCCCGTCATGTTGCTCCTCTTGTTGCTTGACCGACCGCTGTTGCTGTTCCGTTTCGCGGCTTGTGGTTGCCGTACTATTTATTCGGGATAAACCGAAATCCCCTGCTCGCGGGCCAATGGCGCTCTTTTTGTCCCGCCACTAGGTTTTGAAGGAGAAGTCTTGTGGTTCGGGGATACCGATCTGGCAAGCAATGACGTCGTTGCCTCTTGGTGCTTACAGCAGGCCGTAAACAATCCCTCTCTTTAGTTCTAAGCCCCCACCATGTTCCGTCTTGCTTTCAGCAGGCCTTATGCAACCCCTCTGTTTTGTTCTAAGCCCCCACCTTGCTCTGTCTCCCTCCTTGCACTGCTGCTGTGTGCGTGATTGTTGTTGTTGTTCAGGACTTGTCCCTTGTGGTGCAGGGCTCGAGTGGGAAAAGAAATTCGAAGAAGGTTCCTTATACCCAATTCTTCGTCACTTCGGTCACGAACGAGGCAGGCAAGGCGTTGTATACCTTCGTCTCTCTGCAGCCGGTGTCGGGACTGGAGGCGGAGCCGTCACAAACCATGGTAGGTTGGGAGAGCGGACGACGCTGGGGGGGGGGCACGCGGTCGTTGTTTCAGGCACGGCCCCCGTCGTTCATCGAAGGTCGCGATGGCAGTATCGAAGGGGGCGTGGCGTCTCGTCAGTGCAAGCAGGCCGGCATGGTCATCTAACACCCAGCAGAAAGTGCTGCTGGGTCTCTAGATGGCCATATGGGCCTCCTCATACTGACGAGCGCCATGCCCCCTTCGATATTTACCATGCGATTTTTATCAACTTTTAGTTTTAAACACAACACGAGAAATCGATCTCTATCCGATGTACAGATCTAGATCGGTAGTGTGAGCGGAGCGCTACCCTTTTTATGGGACAGGGCTGTGTAGGGCTTGCCCTTTACGAGATCCCCCTCTTCGAGCTCGGAAGGTAGCAGCCAATACGTACAGCACCGTGGTTGAATTTTCCTAGAGCTGGAGGACAAAAATCGGCGATCGAAATGCGCCGGGCCTCATCTGGCTCCAGAGAGAGTTTATCTACGTAGGGTGGCCCTCAAAAGTGCAGCAAAGGCGCATTGTTGGGAGGTAGTGATTCGGCGTGGGAGCCTCCTGGGTTCAATCTTTGGAGATTCTGCTGTTCGAACCAAAACTCTGCGCCTACTGCTGCGTGTGTTTCATGCCCTTGGCGTTTTCCAGCCTGTCTTGTACCACTATGCTGGACCATGCTCTGGCAAGACTATCCTACCCAAGACCTACCACCAAGTATAGTAGTTGGCCCAGACGTTTGACCCCGATGGCAATGTCTGCAAGGAATTGCCGCAGGCAGCAGGGTCGCATGCCGAATCGTTAAGACTTCAAGGAATGCGCTGTGCTACCGTTGCAAGGGAGGGGGGGGCACTGCAGTCTACATGTGTGGATTACTCTGACCCATGATCTAGATGATCTCTCGTTTGAGTTGGATGAGCCCTTGTGCATTGCGGTCGCCTGCTGGTGCTCGAGCTCGGTGTTGACCACGTTGATTGGTTACCGAGGAGTCCGACGCGGGGTCTTGTGCCTTTTTTGCCTACGGGATGGCTTGTTTCTTCTGTCTTCAGATTTCGTCCAATGAACGGTTGTTGCCCGCCGTAAAGACCAAGATGAAGGTAGGTAGTGGGATGGGGGCTGTGTATCCGAGGGACCCTAGATTCGGAACCCGTAGTACGTCTGTTGTGGTCAACAACAGGTTGGCACGAGCCTGTTGCGCTCTCCTCCACTCAATGCTATTTTTGTGCTTATTAACTGCCACAGTACCCAGTAACCCTTGGAGGAATAGGGACGCGGCGTTTGGTCCATGTGTTGGGCCCCCGGGGTGTTCGAGAGCATGGCGCGTTGTCTGCCCCCTCCCATGTCATTTGCAGACCACATTTCTTGGCCACCACCCTCTGCAATGTTCTGACTTCCACGCGCCCGCGCTTTTGTGGCTTCCGGGCTTTGCATCAACCCCCACCCCCCCCTGCATGACCACCGCGACGCCGGCTGAACAACGGATGGATGGATCGACCCTTCGTCACTTGGTGTTGTTGGGGGGCTTCGCAGCCGTACCGATTCCGACGCGCATGGACGTGCCTCAAACCTTCCTCGGTGTGGAGCCTGTTCACGCCGTACAAGACTCTCTGTGAGGCAGATGCGGGACTCATCCACGCGCTGCAAGACCGAAGGGAGATGTTCTGCATCACGGACCCAGATCTTTACGACAACCCCATCAGTAAGTGGTGGTTTTTTGTTTCGAAAACACAGCAAATTCGTGTTCTCGCCATGTTCTTGTTTATCTTTTCTTGTCGAAGAGGTAAATGGACTTGGTAGATGTCATCATGGCATTCTGTTAATGGCGATGATGATACGGAAATGGATCGCCTGTCCATATTCCCAAGCACGACCGCGAGGGTGGCGTGCCCAGATGCAATTTGTCAAGCTGATGTCGAAGGGACGGCGACGCCGAGAAGTCGCCGTGTGTAACAAGTGGTGTTGGTTTTCGCTTGTAGTACATACTCATGGATTCTGTAGCGAAGAAAGGGTGTGTGTCATCCAGGTGCCGCTATTATTGTACCACGGCTTGCAGAATTTTGTGTTGGGTTGGAGACGCCGCCGTCACAAACGATGTTTGCTGTGTGCGATCAGAGCCCTTCTCGCTTTTTTTTTTCTTTTGCCGTCTTTTTTCTTTCTTTTTTTTTGTCCGCTCTGATGGTTTTTGTCGCGTGGGGGCCAGAACCTTCTCGCTTACACGCCGTCCGTCTCTTGATTGTGTGTGTCTTGTTCGTTCCTTCTCGCCCCCCCCTTGATGTACTCTCTGGGGAACAGTTTTTGTTAGCGATGATTTTGTGGATATGACGGGGTACGATCGCGAGGAGATTAACGGCATCAACTGCCGCTTCTTGCAGGTGAGCTTGTTTGATTTTTTCCTGCTTGTTCCACAGTGTGCAAGTTCGTCTCCTCCGTCCGCGGACAAAAGGTCCGAGGTTAGCTTAGGAGTAGGGTCAAGGCGCTTGGACTTCAAACGTGCATTTGTGTGCCTCCCGCCAGCCGAGTAGGGCCTTGATCCCGTCCATGACGGTGACCGTTTGAGAACTTACGTATTTTTCGTAGATCGTAGGTTTCGTAGATTGTACCCCCTCTCTCTCCGAGAATCAGGCCGCGGCTAGGAGGGCGTCATTCCGATCGCGGATGACTGCCTGCTCTGATCACCCCTGTGTGTCCACGGAAGGCGTCCGCGTCAGTTGTACTCTTCCTCCAAGAAGAGACCAACTCCTGGTGCAACGCCATGCGCGATACCACGGGGTCCCGCTTCTACCGGATATTAGAGGGTCCTGAGCGAACACAGGCACAGTTTTTTCATTTGAAAACAACCCGTTGTTCTTGATGTCCATACCCTTGCTTACTACTCCCCCCCCTTGCGGATGATAGTCGATGGTCTACTTGCTGGCATGCAAAACATAAGCACGCCCGGTAGGATAGACAGACTGGGGAAGACATTGTTGAGCCACCTTTGGCAAAGTAGGAAGGAACGATTGGCCATCGGTGATCGGTCCTGTAGGAACAATGCTCCGTCCTCTCGAGGAGGCGTGGTCAATGGTCTAACCGCTAAGGCATGCAACACAAGAGAGTACTCCCCCCCCCCCCCCCCCCCCCCCCCCCCCCCCCCCCCCCCCCCCCCCCCCCCCCCCCCCCCC